TAGTTGCACGAGATTATCCAATCAAATTGCACTGCTGGAAACGTTTGTTTATTCCGGTTTTCATATTTGATCTTAAGTTTACATAAACAGAGACATTCCCACATATTGGATCATACGCTTCAGTATTAACGTGTTTAACTAATGTATATTACACCGTGTATTAAACATCCGTGTAGTTATTATCCACCCTCCTATATCCTAGTTTTATCAACATATTTTTTTAAAAATCAACTCAAGTATATGAATGTTAGTTATTGCTTGTTTATTTAAACTCATAAGACACATAAAATGTAACAAAAAATCAGATAAAACATATTCTTATATGTACAACTTATATACATTTGAATGACACCATTCTGTTTTTTTAATAACTCACGCATGTACAATTATACTAAAAGTAAACAATAAGTAAACAACAATAAAAGAGCGACAAAAAAATTTCAATCAAATTGTTAAAACTTAAAAATTTCATAAAAAAAATAAAAACTAAGTAAACACATAAAACTAATTTTGTTTTACTCTATTTAGATTTGAACATGTCTTTACATAATGCCATTTTTCCACCACATTTGTTGCACCTATTTTTCACCCGTACCTCCCGACTTGGTTTGAGTCTTTGTTGTTGCCGACGTCCTGGCCTCACTACGTCCTCGACGCTTAAATAAACCATTTGCATTATGCACATATACACTTTACGTAGTACTGCTGCGGACAAGACTTCTCCACTTTGGACTGATACTGGTTTGTTATTGCATTGAGGCTGTGCAATTTAATCGCTTCACTTTTATCTCTGAAAGTTTGGCCTATCACAATATCTGATATCATACCTCCGACCACAACTTCTAGTGTTCCAGAGTTGTTTATCTTATGTTTATCTTCCATATACTTTTTCTGTTTACTAATCAGGATACCTCCAACTTGATAGTTCACGTATTCATTGTTGATCCACACTCCATTGTGATATATAAACACATTGACATCAGTCATGTTCCTGTAAAATAAACAGATTTGCTAAATAAATAATCAAGATTACAACAATATCTTTGTGTTTACTTGTTGCATATATTACGTTTAGATATTCAAAACGATGAAATTGTAAAAAAATAATAATAATAATAATAATAATAATAATAATAATAATAATAATAATAATAATAATAATAATAATAATAATAATAATAAAAATTAAAGAACATGCAATAATCTCGTACTTGATCCAAAAAAAAAATTAAAAAAAAATATACATTTAGTGTTTATCAACACAATGAATATACCTTCGAGTTATAAACATATTATGCCTCGACGCAACATAATGAAAGAACAAAGTAAAAAAAAAAATAACGTTGATTTCATAATTGATCAACAAAAAAAAAAAAACATAAACATGATTATACCTTCGATTTTTTGGCTCATTGATATTCCCCGATCAATTTTACAAATAAAAACGATCATCTTCTTTTTTTTCTCCCTACCGATCGGTGTTTCTTTCTATATGCAAGAGATCGCTCGTTCCTCTGTATATCCAATTTCGAATTTTGAAATCGTTTAAGAAAATCTGCAATTTTTGTTTTTATTTTTGGAATTACCGTTTTTGCTGCGTTGATCACGGGATCATCATGCCACGTGATTAATTTTTTTTTTTTTTATCGTTAAATAAATTTGTATTGATCAAAACTGAAAGTCATACAACCGGGACGGCTATCAAAAGCGTAGTGGGTAGACACATGTCGGCTCCTCACTCGCAAGAACCAAAATAAACGAGGGCAACCACAAGTCGGGTGCTCACTCGAAGAAGAGAAACAATTAATTTCCTCTCTTCAATATCATCTAAGTGCTCATACACTTTGCAACAACCAACTCAAAATTTTTCAAAATTCAAGGCCAAGACATCTCCTTTCGAATTCGGCAAGAACACTCGAGTAGGTAGCAAAGATAGTGCGGTAAACATGTGTTTTTACCTTTCTAATCATGAGGCTTGGAGGTTGACTTTCGCTTTCAAAAATCAATCTATTGCGTGCGTTCCAAATGAAGTAGACGGTTGCCGCAAGTGCCGCTTTCTTCAATTTGGCTCGCCAAGTCGTACCTTTCCCTTCTTTTTTAGTCCATTTGAGGGCGCCTTTAAGGGTAGATGGCATGTGACGGAGGCTAACCCAAACTCTAATTGCACTCCAAATCTCCGAGCTATAGGGACACTCGAAGAAGAGATGACTCGAGGATTCGTTTGCGATACCACAAAGGAGGCATGTGGGGTCTTCGTTGAGGAATTCTAATCTATCCTTTGTTTAGAGCCTATTCATTACGCCGAGCCATAAGATGAAAGAATGCTTAGAGGTATTGCAACTTCCCCAAACAACCCCGGTCCATGGCTTCTCGATACCTTTGGGACGAAGAAAGTCATAGCACTTACTCATTCCATCTTGTTTGTCACGCAAATTCCAAGCACGGAGAAGGGCTTCCGCGCCATGGTCGCTACCCGCTTTTTCAATCAAGCTTTGCCGGATTTCAAAGAGGGATTTGAAGAGGGGGGAATCATTTTTGGAAACTTGCCAATCCCAAATAGTTTTCTCCTTCAAATAGATGTTGTGGATCCATTTGTACCAAAGTGAATCCTTCTTTGCTTGCATATTCCAAAGAGTCCTCATGAGAAGGGCTCGGTTCCAAGCGTCCAAGTTACGGAGCCCCAATCCACCCTCCGCACGAGGTAGACACAAAGTATCCCATGCAACGGGGGCTTTATTGGAGCCCCATAAGAACCTCATACAAAGTTGAATGATCTTGGTTCGAACAATGCCCGGCAAGTGGAATATGCCCATCCAAAAGCAAGCGATGCCTTGAATAACCGACCGAATTAGTTCCAATCTACCGGCATAGGAAAGGGAGTTCCAATCATGCCACGTGATTAATTTATGGAGAGAGAGAGAGAGAGAGAAGCGTAACAGATTGACTTAATCAAAATCTCGTACTTATGCAAAATCACAATAGCATCCTTTTTTGATTAATATTTTCAATGGATGTAGATATGTAAATATTTATACAAGATGCCCCATGTACGTAAATTTCCCAAAACTGACCAAAATTATCGTCCACATTTTGTCAATCAAACCCTTTATAGAGTTCCAAAAATAATTTCTAGTGATTTCTGCAACCTTGAAACAACTTCTTGGATTCTACAATAAATTCTAAAATTTCTAAAAATGGTTTCTTGAACACATAAACAAATCTTAATATCTACAATCGATTTCTGAAATTCTATTAATGATTTCTTTAACAAAAATAAATTCTTGATTTCTTAAAAACAAATGGAGGGAACAGTGAGAGGAATTATCAGTCGAAACCGTGCCTTGAAATAGAGGGAATGTCATGCTCGATGCGGGTGTTTTCGCGAGTAAATGATGCCTCAACTGTTGTGAATACCTTAAATTAATCGACACTGAAACTCGGCATATGTGATGTGTGTGAATCGGAGTACAAGAAAGCAGCAGGAAAGGAATGAATAATATCTTATATGAGCACAAGGACAATGAAACTGCAGTCAGAAGACCGCTGGAATACAGTATGGGCTTCAATTCTTCATAAGAACAACCCAAAATATTTTATTACTCATCTGAGACCGACTATCATCGATTACAGAGGACCTGGAAAAGTGCCATTTTCCCTTTGTTCATTCCACCTATCAATCTGCAACAAAAGAAAGAACACGTTATATATACGGTTTAAAAATGCAAAATGTGTTTCCTCACAAGAGGCTAAATATCGCACTGTTTTCTCAATATTTTTTATTCGCCCAGAAATTTCTGGCATGCAGTAAACAGAACATTTAGAAAGAGCATGGAGAACTCGTGAGAGGCCAACAATTTGTCCCAAAAAGGAAAAATAGGTGAAGAAGAAAAAAGCTGTCATATTTTTTTTTGCTCATCTCTATTTCTATCTTCTTTTCATTATTTATTCTTTTTAAATCATTGGTTGGAAAAGATAAAGTAAACTAGTTGGTTGTGGATGCAAACATACCCATTCACCAGGACAAAGGGAGCGATAATATTTAGCAAACTTGTCACACTCGGGTGCACCTTCACCCTTTGCAGCAACACACCTGACGACAGACAAAACCAAGTGTGAGGGTTAAAGGACAAGACGAAAAACACAAAGCATTACTTATGAAGCTTCAAGAATTATCAAGATTAAATGGTGTGCAACTGACCTCATGGAAAGATCTAATAAGTTCCTAGATCTTACCATACGCATTCAATAACTTGCAAGATATTATAACGTATTCTGAAAGAAGGTGATGAAAATTTAGATAAAGTAAAACTGTCAAAGAATTTCGGAGATTTAGCTGTATTAAAGATGATGCTGTGTCCTTGACAATACTATAGCTCCCTACAATTTTTCTGTCCCAAAATGACAGCCTTTGAGGTGTGTTCAATTATTTTCTCCTTCTTAGTTGTTGTAATCCTACTCAATGAGAAATTTCCCACACCGTCTGAAGTCAATAATGGCATTAGTGTGAATAGAATCATACTAGGAGGATCTGAGTATATTTTGGATTTTCTGATGCAAATAAATTTATTTTCTTAGTTTGTGTGAATGAAAATTGAGACTATTATGTCTCGATCTCATCTTGATCAATAATCCGTAGCTTTGCTCCCCGGAACTGCTGGTCAGCTCGCTTAGTGCTTACAAATGAAAAGCGTGTGTCGATTACTGTTGGCGATGGGAAAGACTTGCCGGTTCAGTGAATCACTAAGTTATAAATAGAGAATGGGCTTCCTTATCATTAAATACGAGTGTGGTGGAGTTAAGCCCCTCTACCGTATATGTACAAATAATGCGGCATAGTTGTGATTTAAGTGGTCAATTTAAAGAAGGTAATTAAGATGAGATTTTTCCTTTTTCTGTTCTTTTTAATTATTCTTGAAAGCAAACGATCGGGCATACCTTATAGATACACCTTATGAACTCCTATAATACTAAACAGAATATTAAGTGTTCAGGCAGTGAGAGAGAGGGAGAGAGGACAGAGTTCACGACAATGAATGTTAAGAACTTACAGGCTCGGTAACAGCTTCTAAAATGTTCCGAGCTCATAAATTCAGCCAAACAACAAATGAGGCGTCGATAAAAGGTATAGTCGTCAGTCACTCACCGATGATACTCAATATATCTTGTGAAACAGTGCCTTGTTTGGTTAGTTGTTGGGAAACGGAAGTCTGCAGGAGCTGTCTCAAGCTGCAAAAATGTGATTTGTGAAATGAAATTAAAGCAAGCGAACAAATCAAATGCAAGAAAACATAGTTTTTACAACAGGACTATGAAATCTCAAAGCAAAAATAAAACCTTGATCTCAGGAGTCTCCTCAACTTCTTGTTCATCTGAGTTCCCGGATTCAGCACTGTTGTCACTGCTTTCTTGGTCTCCATTATCCTCAGTAGTTTCACCAGTGAGGCCCGATTCCTTGCTTTCTTCTTCAGCAGGAGGAGCAACTTTTTCACTCACATCAGCAGTTGAAGTGTCCTCGATTTTCTCCACAATTTCCTTGGAAGTGGCATCTGATGATGGTTCGACCACTTCAGCAGATTTTGGAGCTGCCTCAGGTTTTGGTTCTTTGTTCTCTACTAAATAATGCTGCGTAAAAAGGAAAGAAGGTACTATTAATTACATCACATATCAAAGCACCGAACAGGACAACAATATTACTAAAAAAACAATGAAATATTCTCGTCTGGCATGTTCCTGCGTTAGATGATTATTATCAATAATTTTCTTGTTCTGCACCTTTGTCATAATCATCAATATGAAGCAGCATGGGATCCGAAGATGGGAATGGGGGTATTTACAGACTATAAATGCTTATACGCTTACACTATTTTGCTGGTAATATGGGATGTGTATGAAACCATGGGTACCTAAGAAAGGGCCATAATCCTACAAGGGCCTTAATACCAAGATTGATAGATAGAATCTTTGTCAAATTAATTTGGAAAAATTTAAATACTCAGGTGACAATGAAAATTCCATAGTAGCGATAACATTGACCATAAGAGCAGGGTAGATTAAAATTTGAGACAACCCAAATCAAGTACGGGATAAATTTGAAGACAAAAGAAGGTAAGTATGTCATCAACTACCTCCGAACATATGCATGGGAATTTATTTCTCAACTTGTATGAACCTACATATTAGGATTGTTGGCACATATGGTTACTTGGCTAGTCACGGCATAAAGTTCAGGCAAAGAGGGTTTTACATACCAACAGTCACGCAACTCCAAGACATCAGCCTTCATGCAAAATAATACGAGTACATAATAATATCCGATAACAGATGAGCCAATATTATTTGGTAGTGTATGTTTTATGTATATGAAAGGGTGACAATTTAAGTCTGGTATGAATTTGCAGGTAGATTGAGACAGTTCTTGACAGGTTTGTCATACTGAAACTGACAAAAAAGATGCATATATGTTGAGTTTAAATAACCCATATATTTACATGGTTATATCGTTGGTGAAATTGTGTTGATTAGCTTGCAACTGCAAGTTACACTTACATAAGGCTCTAAAGTTGAACAAACTTACTTACCAGAAAAAAAAAAAAATCACGAAACATAAAATGTAATAGAGAAATAAGCAACAGTCTGTGATTAACGCTGTTTCGCCATCATCTCATAATAAGTTATAGAAGAAATGTAGAATAGAACCAAATTGTCAAAAAGGACATGACACTCCGTAAAAGTCAAACGGAAATAAGCGAATCCCTCCGTTACGAGACATTTGGTTCACAGTATGCTATAGCAGTAAACTAATAAAACCAGAACAAAAAATGGATAGTAGCATCAACTACATTGCTTGGTCATGAAACGACAATTGCATATTATCAATTATGTGTTTCTGGATTTTCAGAAGAAGATACTCATAAATACTTCGAAATCTCGGGCAAAAGCAAGCGTCAACAACAAACATATAAAGGCACAGACATCTCAAAAGTGACTGGCAGCGAACAGGGCTGCAGCCGGCAGATTTCTACCGCACAGCCAATTGAGAAAAAAATCAACTCAAAATCACTTATTTAAACATCAAGTACCCGAAAACAGTAAAACAATGATAAATATGAAAGCTTTGATTCTTAATATCATGAATATTTTGAACACCTGATTCAAATCTACTCAAGTATCAATCTTCAGAACATAGATTTCTTCCTATGTTAATTAAGAGGAATATTGACACACATTCAGTAACAGAAAATTTTATCAAACATGTAATTGTGCTGTGGCTTCAAATCCGATCTGTCGATCAAGGCATTATATATAATCGCATCAGGAAAATGCAACTTTTAAGGTAAAATTCAATTAAAAAAAAAAAACACGAGAATCAGAAAAGAAAAGCACCTCAGCTAGGGATGGGAGCTTGGGCGCTTCAACCTCGGCGGCCATTGAGGGATCTGGGAATTGACGGCGGCTGTAGTGGAGTGTTGTGCTGCAGAGGGTGAAAAATGGAAGGTAGAGTGAGCAGAAAGGATTAACAGATAAAGATGGACATGGTGATTTCCAGAAATGGAGTTTGAGCCCAACACAAAATGAAAATGAGCCATGGGCCGGACATTCTAGACAATAAGAAATGGAATTTGTTAAAGAAAATGGGGAAAATGGCCCATGGCTATGTATCTTTCTAGTTCACCTTTTAATAGAGGAATGTTTCATTTTTTATTATATAAAATATATAACAACAAGGTAAATATTAGCATGCCATACAGCGGTGAATTCGTTCTTGGGCCTTGTAATTAACATAATTTAATGATTTTATTTGCAGAAATACGACATAGAGTTCAAATATGATGCAATCAAAATAATGCATAATTATGGGGAAAAACTTATCACATTCTAAATAATTAATTGGTAAGATTTTTTTTTCTCTCACACCTCTGTAACCGCTCACTTTCAACCAAGTCAACACACATCTCCCTCATCTCTCACCCACAACTCTGTAACTGAAAACCCTAACTCCCTCATCTCTCTCCCAAGAATATCATTTACACCCGAGTTCGAACATGGCAAGAATCGGCGCCGAGATTCCCCCTCATCACATATCGAGCTCTGGCCTCCAAAAAATATAAGCAAAAAACAACCTACCATCGTGCAAAAAAAGCTCAAATTCGACAAAAACATAAAACCCAAAAACCCCCCCCAAAATCACCGTGCAAGAACAGACACGACAATGTCGATTCTACATCAGATTCTGAACATTTTCGGTCGAACTTAGGTGATAATCCTCCAAAAACTTCATGAGAACGGAGTAAAGGAAAGAAACAACAAATGCTTGAATCAACAACTTCTTGCAAATAGAAAACTTCGTGTGGTCTGGTTCATTCGATTTTAATTGGATATAGAAAGCAAGAACTATGTCATCATCTACAAACATTGGTGGATATCCATCCTTCAGGCTATACTTCAATTCAAGAGTAGATGATTAAGGCATTATCCTGAGTTTTCCCCTAAATGCATCACAAAGCTCTCTGTAACTGTAATTTTTTCTAACTATAACACCCGAAGATTGAAAGTTTACATATTCATTATTAACCCATTCACCACTGTAATTGAAGAAGATCATAAACGGCATATCCACCTGTCATTTATATAAAGATTAAATTGAAAAATATACACACAATATACATATTACATCAAGTCAAATTATAAATATTAAAAAAAAATGTTATCAGATTTTTACCTGATCTATGTCGTGATTTGTTCATCTTTATATTCTTCAAGATGAATCAGTTTTTGATCGTGTATATCATGTATATGTTCGTTGCATATAGCAGGTAGAACATTTTAAGTTGTGATCGTGTATATACTGTATCTTTCTTGATCGTGTTTTTACTTTATTTTGCGAGAGAGAGAGAGAGAGAGAGAGAGAGAGAGAGAGAGTACGTTTAAAATTCAAATTATACTTCTTTCCATGCTGATAAGAACATATTCCTAAAAAATAGTTCATATCTACTTACCTTTTTTATTTTTATCTTCCCAACGAATACATATATGTGCGCGATTTTAAGAAGGAGACTTTGATAATGGAAGTTTTTATTTCAACCCCAAATAAAGGCCCTCTAATTTGGTATTCATGCTAATAAAGTACCACATCTTGTATATATGCATTTTTTTTTTCTTGTGGTAAGTACAAAATTTCGCCCTTTTAATATGAGAAATTTAATGCACTACATAATATCTCTTTTATTACATATTTGCATTTTATGAATATTTTTTTGAAAAACAATTAAAATCATTCCATTTATTTTTACATATACTAGAATGTCAATTGACATATGATTATATTTATTTACGAATTAGACGAATTTAGTGGGGATTGCCTAAATCGATTTCCACTTTTTTTTTGGGATTGCATCATCTCTCTCTCTTTCTCTCTCTCTCTCTCTCTCTCTCTCTCTCTCTCTCTCTCTCTCTCTCTCTCTCCTTCCTCCATATTTTGTTTTTCTTTTCTCTTTCTTATTGAGATAAATCTTTCATGCACTCGCCGCTCTTATTGCCTCATCACATCACAACCTTACAGAGCCACCGAAAAAAGTCGGTCACTCAAACAGGCAGAGAAAGGGTTAGGTTCAGTGGCGATCGTGCCTGCAGCAAGTATAAGAGAGGATGCGGCTGCGGGCTGTGCCGCACCCCTCGAAACAACCAGGAGCAGAAGTTGGCATCGATGACGAAGCTCGCTCGACTGGGGTCCAAGTTGGGCGTGGCAGATGAAGATCAAGAAACGAGATGATGCAGGACGAGATGGTGGGGCTCTCCCTCAAGGACGAGATGATAAAGATCGTGCTAGTCCAGAAGCAGACACGGACACGGTGGACACGCCCGCGGGGGAGAAATTCAAGACTCTGCATTATGATTATTGAGGGCGCGTATGTGGGGCTCCGTCGGTGATGCGGCTGGCGACATCGGTGAAGGGGGTGGATTTCCAGTGGTGATATGATTGTCTATGTATTGTTTTATTTTAAGTGTGTGTTTGGTTACAGAATATTACGACAAACATTTTTTATGTTTTTATTGCTGCGACTGGAATATTTGTTGCATCTTTTTGTAGCATTTTATTTTTTTTATTGTATGCGTTGTTTTAGATATTTCTCATAGTGTATGTGTATTAATGGTTTTTGTTTTATTTTAGTTTGTAGTTCTGTCGTTATGTTTTAGTGGTTGAGCACTTTCGTGAATGAATTTTTGTTTGTATAAGAGTATTGATTTATAAAACTATAATAAACAGAAAATAAACCATATATGGAATCACATTCTATAATTTTGTAGTGGTTTATAGACCTATAATAAAATGAAAATATGAATATAATTTTACAATAACAAAATGTTCTAAAAACTTATAATATGCTGAAAATAAATTGTATATGTTTTGTATGGTTTATGTTTGCTGTAAGATTGACATTTATAATAGTGTTTTAACTGCACAAGACAAAAATTGTGAACCATTAAAAACTGTGTTTTAACACTACAAAAAAAAAAAATACTTTTTATTTTAGTTATTCAACTGTTTTTGCAACATTTTTATTTGAAATTAATGACCGACGACAATATCAAAGTTAAAATATTCATCCATTCTATCCATTGGTATAGTATCTTCAAATGCGTCGTTTATAGCCAGTATAATTTCAGTATCTGTTGTGTGCCCTTCACGTTAAGTATACAAATCTAACGAAAAGCTAGTTATTTTACCTCATATTTCTCCAATAAGAATTTGATTTGTAATGTTAGATCAAGTGTTCTTGGCCGATTACATTTAAGATTTTCAAAATCAAATCACATGGCTAAGAATATTTTGTTATATATCTAACATAAACTATTATTAAACGTCAAATAAACACTGATTCAAAAAAAAAAGGTCAAACTTTTCAGCATCTGATCAAATCGAATTTAGGACTCAAATTAAGACCCAAAATCGCAGCCATGGCCATGGCCATATTCTCCTCATCCGTAAGCTTAGAAAGAAGCTTCTCGGCCTCGTGGGCCTTAGCCACCATGTGCTTCTCTATAGATCGGTTGATCCGAAAGTTGGTTGCGTTCACCTCACGCGTGCTCTCGATTAACTCCCTTCCCCTTTGGATCCCCCTATGTGATGCCTTGATCTCGAACGCGACTCAGATCGACAGAGAGCCCGTGGAGGGCCGAGTCTCGACCTCGATCTTGAGAGAGCGGCCGTAAACCTCGCGCTCAGGCATCACGGTCTCCCCGAAAGGAGGTGACGGCGGCCGATGTACGGCGGAGGTCGTCTTATACGACGATGATGTTTTTTGGTTAGATTCAATTGAGATTGGAAAGGCGGCGAGGCCTAGGTTTCGATGGAGGGCTTGATCGCGACCTCGAGGTCAAGGAAGGAGGAAGACAGGTCGGAGTCCTCGAACTAGTCATCAAGTTCACCGTTAAGCTTCTGTTTAGGATATAAACTCTTACATATTTTTTTATTCATTAATCACGACATCTGTTACGTTGTAGTTATTAAGGAGGGGACGTTTTTGGTTGCAAACATATTTTAGGCATATGTATAATTATTTGAGACCAACGATATTGATGCAAATTAATTTTATCAAGTGTATAAGTGCAACTATTTCCAACTAGTATAGTATGTATTTAAATCGACCTTGTAATATTTAGGATGGTGTATTCAGTTGGGATTACAAAAAAAAAAAACTTAGACTTTAAAGGGCATCAGTTTTAATTAAATTAGTACTTTTTCTCACTTCGATATGGATTACCACACCAAGTCCAGTACGACCTAAGGAACGATTTAACTGAATCGAGTGGACCGATATATATATATATATGTGTGTGTGTGTGTGTGTGTGTGTGTGTGTGTGTGTAGGGGGAGGATCCAATGAGTCCACTCCTTAAGGGCACCTGAGGTCAAAGAAACACCAAGTTGATGGTGACCTCATAGATAAAAGAGTTCGCCAACAGGTCAAAATAGGGCTCTCGGCTACTCTGATAGAAACTTGACCAAGAGGCAGTTAGGTCGATAATATGACCTAAGAGGTAAAGCTTATATGCTGAAGGTCGAAGCAACCTAGTTCAAGAAAAGTGGAGTTAATCGACGGTCAAATAAGATAGGCTAATGTGAACACGCTAATTATGAGATTGTTATCATCCGACTCCGCAAGATACTGTTAAGAGGTTTTAAGCATCTTGTTAAATGTGATTAACTGTTAAACCGACGTGAATCAGAACCGCACCGATCTACACAAAAGAA